AAAAAAACATCTTTTTAAAAAATTGTCAATTTCGTTCCTTTTCTCAGCACCTAGCCCATATAACCAATTATATATATTATTTATTGTATATATTTTATTATTATCTTTGGCCTAATACTTCTAGTTAGCTATTGGATACAATAGTTTACCAACTGAATAATATTTGTCTCTTCTAAAAATACCGTATTATCGCGAAATAGTGTACACCTGCACGGTATTTCGATCACCCGTGCGGTATTTCGAGTACACGCATGTGCGCTATTTTGAAAAACCTTAATTTATATAAGAACAATTAATGTAATGTAGTTAAGCTGATTTGTCATTCTCAATGGCCCACTTTTAGCAGTATACATGTGCTGTACATATGAATTTCTTCTTGGCGATACTGACAATAACGATAAGGACACCAATTTGCTATTTTAGTATTGATTTTTTATTAGCCATTATTATTTTAATTTTTATTTAAGTGACAGTAAGTTGCGAATCGAAAAGACAGAATATTGATCAGGAATCATATTCTACTGCAATTAGATATGATACAGTATTAAGAAGGAAGTACAACCTATGACCCATCCGGTGCTTAATCATAACCATTCAACGTAGCTTTAATATAATTTCAGGTGCATTATTCCTAGATTAAATATGTTCTTCCAACGTTTGTTTCAGGAATAAATTGATAAACTCAGTCTATTGAGTAAATAGATAAAAGGTTTTATGTAGAAATAAGTTTAAGGAGTTAAAAAGGGATAAAGGATTTTGTGTTTTGATGATAGTAAATCGCAAAATTTTTTAATCAGATCCGCCAATATAGATGCTTGACAGACTATTTTGCAATGATGAAAGTTTAATAAAATCATTAACAAAATTGATGAAACCATGTATTTCGTCAGTTTTGCCAGCCATCATTATCCATTAATCAAAATAATCAACTATTTTCGCTTGCAAATTAAACCTGTCTGTGATTAAGCATTATGCTTTTCGATTGTTGCCCGAAGGATAAACATACTGCTACAGTGGAATGATTTTTTGTATGTTATAAAATTTATTAAAAATCAAAAATCTTTAATTATTATCAACAAAAATGTTTACACAAAAATATTTAGTATTAAATATAGTATCTAACTATAACTAATCAATCCAATTAAATAGTTATTAAAAGAATTAAACAAACGGTTTAAGAATTTGTCGACTTATCATAACTAGGCAATCTAAAGAATTTTTTTACACCATATTTTCTTACTTTTCTTTTTCGACTATTCACTTTTCTAACCTTACCACCCCATGGACTAATCTTAATAACATTCTTTTCAATAAAATATCTGAATTTTTCCAATTCTTCAATTCTAGTTTTAATTGATTGTGAATTTTTGTTCCATATTTGAGAATTTCGATTACTATTTAAATTATTTTCATCACCTATTATTATGCTTTCTAAATCTTTATCAATTTTAGCTTTAGTTTTCTCTTTATATATTCTGATTCCACAACATCCGGAATGTACAACACCCCAAAGTCTTATTGAATCAACACCTAAAGATTTTGGTATATGGTAATTTAGCTTTTTAATTAAAGTTAAACAAGAAAAATAAATAAAAATATAATCATAATACCGAATAAAAATATATAAAAAAACATAAAAGAACTGTAAAAAGCAGCAACAGTTCCGAATACGCTTATAACCTATTTACCATAAATTATACATATATATATAATTGTTTCGATATGTACTGATAAATATAAATTATTAGAAACTTCAATTATTACTTACACTATTGTGCCTATTATTATTAATATATATTTATATAGTAGTTAAGCATGCATTAACAAACTATTCAGACAAGTTAATTTTAATTAGCAATACCTTTGCTCTTCTTCCTCTTTTATACTAAAACTTCTTGGACCAATACGTAGTGATATATTATTTTTATTTGAAGGGCTCATTGGAACAGCTTCTATTGTTTTTAAATATAAATAATATTAATATTGTATTTTAAAAGATTTAGACGTAAGCATGATTAAAGTGAAAAATATTCTTACGTATAGTAGATTCAATATATGGTCTTGGAGGTTGTGATATTGCGAAGCCAAAGTAATTTAGCATAGTTTCAGCAAGAAATGTTCTAAAGTTTCTGTTATAACCAAACTTATATATCTAGTAATTTTTAGCAAAAAAAAATATATATTGTTAAATTATAATTTAAAACTGTAATAAATATGATATATACATACGTAGTCACTTGATAAAGTATATTTATTCATATAGTAAAGTGATCGTTCAAATGGAGATATTTGATGAGATGCAGAATCAAAATGTTTATTTTGTATATTGTAGTCATTTTCTACATGAATTGAAATAGCGTATATTTAATATATCAAATAATCAGAATAATAAGATTGTGAAAAAATCAATTTTTTAAAAGGATTATACCTGAATCATATGCCACCATCCTGAATGATGATATTTGAGTGGAATCATTGATTCTTTTAGGGAAATTAGAGTCCACGATGTTAATGTCGAGAAAAACAAAGTATGGACCAATTTCATCTTCATATTTATGCAAAAATATTTCTCTTCCCG